AACATTGTCTACATGTGATAGTTTACTTTTTTAATATTTGAGGCGACTTACCATCCTCGGGTAGTGCGTGCGTGACACTGACAGCATACCCTACCACCAGAGCACCTATTATCATGRATCCATTGTCGGCGTTCCCCTGATCGACAAGATGTCCTACACCTTTGCGAGTAGGCACCCTCGGCCTCCCTTCCAGAACCACAGTCTGGATCTAGAACAATCAGCAATTGACATATTGGTTGAAAAACTTTAAATGCACTATTTTTAAATAACATTTGTGTATTTTTGGTGTTGTTTTTTTTTCTTGTTCACTAGAACCGTAGAAAAATGCATCGTCTGTGATATTGGCTTTCAATTTCATATGCTGGTCATATTGAAGGAATGGCGTGCGTGTTTAAAGCCGATTTAGGGACGAAACATTTAATTTTTGATGGGGAGGGGACCAAAATCCTCCCAACAATATCGAGCAAGGCCTGTAATATAATAACCTTGAAAAAAATCGAGCAAGATCAGTTCCAACGAAAAAAATAACGAGCAAAGTCAAAGAAACATTTCACTATTAAATCATTAAAAGATCCGTTCTTTTGCTATTTCAAAATGGCTACAGTTTGCCCTGGATAGTCTTCACGGTATTTTTATAACAGTCACCGACGCCGATGTTGACGCGGTAATCAACAGAAACGGCCTTCCAATAACCATTGAAGTCCACAAAAAATAGTCAACTTTCTTGATGTCACGCTAGATCTCAATAGCTGTTCCTTCAAACCATATTCAAAACCAGGCATCGCCCCACAATATGTACACAGAAAATCAAACCATCTACCAAAGTATAATCAAAATATTCCTGAAGCTATAAACCGAAGATTATCTAAAATTGATGAAAAAACTTTCAGCGATTCTGTTCCTATAGCATCAAGAAGCACTAACGAAAAGCGGATATGGTTTCAAGCGAAAATACGCGCCTACTCCTAATACAAAAAACGAACGTAACCGTCAACGCAATATAATCTGGTATAACCCACCATTTAGGAAAAATGTCAAAACCAACATCGGCAAATCATTCCTAAAACTAATAGACAAACACTTCAAAGTTGACAATCCGTTGCAAAAGATACGGTTGGTGTTTTTTGTTTTTGTTTTTGCAGGTAAACAAACTTTGTGAATGAATATATTTTCAGTAGGTTTATTATATTATTTATTTATGGTTGAATAAAATTGTGCAATTGTTTTAGAGTAGCGGTATTTATCCTTAATAATGGTATTTCAAATAGCACAATTTTATTCAACCATTTTATAAACCTGAAATAATAGCATGTTTTGTGAATGGAATTTGAGATAAATACCACTTGTGATATTCTAAAATTTTCACAAATTTTGTTTGATAATTTCGAAATATCACGCATGGTATATTTATCCCAAATACCACTACAAAACATGCTATTACCTATACTTAGTGAAGCGTTTCTGTGTGCAAAGCTCGGGGTTAAGTGTGTTGCTACGCAACTGTCAACCAATCGCGTTCCAGTATTTTAATTCAGCTATCTAGTTGTACAATGTATGTATACAGCTGCAGTAATTTCGTAAAACCTTGTTGTCAAATAAACCTAATTTTTTTGAAATTGTATTAAAATGTGTATATGTGAAAATATCAGCAGAACGTCTATATATGAAATCATAGAACAAATGAGATATGTGTCAAAACCAAGAGCTTTCCTACCTTTAGGGGGACAGTTTTGTCCTTTTTTAGCACAGGTATACTTTTTCCAATACTCCTCCTGTCATCAAACAGAGAGAAAACTGAACCATGCGCACGGAAAATAAAACCTCAGTTTATCTTAAATTAGTTTTAGCAATGTAATTGTTAGCCTCTTCCKCAGGCATCACTAAGAATCACGGGCTTCCTGTCTTTTTGGGGAATCAAAAGAGGGATAATCCCTTACGGACAAAGATGACCGTTACAAAGGAAGCCCAAAGGAGGGAAAAGAGTTGCCTGGGGAAGAGGCTAGTTGACTGTAATGCTGTACATTGTGTACATTAGTGCAGACCAGGAACTCGTCGTACTAGCACCCTCCATGACGTGTATTGGATTTGATCACGGCGATTTTCATAGACATTTTTTCGATCTATATGAGCAGTCACATCCCTTATTACTCGAAATCCANAAATCGCTCAAATCGAAATAAAAAGTTCAATTATTGTTTCCCGAGTGTAATCACTCATAAAGGTGAAAAAGCGATGGATATTTCGTCAAAAAGACGCGATAAATGGTTAGCAAACCTATGTCGGAGAGAATGGACGCTGAGTAAGCACATTCGAGTCTGTTCGGACCATTTCCATTCAGATTACTTGATCGATTGTCATTTATTTTGAGTTAAAATGTTGTTAATGTGCTAATTTAAGCAAAGCAAAGTTTATGGATAAATTTGTTACTATACCAAACGCCAAAATCTTAAACTGAACGACCGTGATCTTTTCGTATGATCGATCGATCGAATTTCAAATAAAGTTACATGTATGTCTTTATCAACTAGTCAAATGTCATTTTAGGAAAAACCACATTGCACCTAAACGGTTTTTCGTTCTTCCCAGTGTTTCTTATAGAATATACAAGTTTTTCCTTTGAGAAACAGAAGATGTAAAAACAATCTCAGAAACAGGTTCATAGCTTACTTAATCACCCAGTAGGCTTTTAGAAAAAAAGGGACTGTTTTTGTTTCCCGGTGTCGAATATAACATTCAATTGCAAACAGTAAAGCCCCTACRTGGGTGCATGTTTCTCCAAGACTAGCCATACAATTACAATGTGCGGAATTGGTCAAGAGTATAAGCATTTTACTTTAGAACGAGATATGTCACGAGATCCAAGAACGTGACTCGCCGGAAAATCGCTAATATTTGGGCTCCAGTCCTTGTTTTGTACTTCATAAGTATCTATATTGTTAATAGATGCTATTTTTGTAGACATCTCTCTTTTGAAGGTGGATCAAGTGAGGAGAAGTAAGATTTTTTTGCGAACATCGTTAAAACTACATGTGTTTATATTGACAATGTGACCTTCAAGATGGCGGCCATCGSBGTTGCTACGGGATACGTGACGTCAGCGAAAAACCTCTATAGTTTAAAACTGCGAGCTGCAAGCGGACGTGAATATTTTATATTGCTTATCAAATTCCAACATAAGCTAAAGCATATTTCGAAAAAAAACTTCAGGATAAAATATCATTTGTAAGATAAAATCGAAGTTAAAGTTGTATGCAAATCAGGACAAATCTCTTGCTCATATAAAGATGCGGTCACGGCAATGATTTTCCATTGTGTTAACCTTATGAATATTAAGGAATTTGATAATGTTTTTATGATATCAGAAGCTAGTTATGCTGTCGCGTGTATATTGCCTTCGAAATAAATGAAGATCTTGGACCAATCAGAGCGCTCGTRCTATTACATTTATATTATAATCCCGGATATCACCAGGGATTTGGGGATCGAGATTTTAATYGACTGATGCATTTTATAAGTCTTTAATTTTGAAACTTACGCCGGATTCTTCATTACTATACGACTCCTCTACTTCTTCATAATCGCATCCTTCGACGTAACATTCATGATAAAGACTTCTCTTTGCAATTTTAAGCCTTTTCATGATGTTAAAGTCATTTGCTTGGTTTGGCGATAGACTAATTTCATCGTCTGAAATTATAAAAAAAAGAATGACAAAAAGTTATTAAATTAAGTATAAAAGAGAATTTGGAATGCGCATGTCTCCTGCCTTTTACGTGTAATTATGTACAGTTTAAAACACGAGAGAGAGTATTTTATCAGGTATAAAGCTAGATTCTCGCCTTCGGAATGAAATCTTTATGCCTGATAAAACACGCTATCTCGAGTGTTTTAAATGGCTTCAAAAACTCCAACACTATTTTGAAACTCAAATHCGTTAAAATTCTTGGAGAAATTGCCGTAAAACTAAGTTTTTAGATAAATGAGGCAAACTGAGCAGCAGTGCTCCCGGCCCCCTCGGCTCCGCCGCCCCTGCTGATGGCTGTTTCACTGCAATTCGTTGACATCCTGCATTAGTCAATAAGTAATGTATACAGAACGAGAGAGCGTGTTGTCCCGGGTGATAAAGATCCGAGCCGAAGGCGAGGTTCTTTAGCCCCGATCCAACACGCTCTCGAGCTCTGTATACGGCTTATCAAATTTTATAATAATTCTCATTTTAATGTTTTTGAAAAATTGAATATCTTACTGCATTTCATCGATTAAAATTATCAACGTATGTCGCCGTTATTAAAGATTCCGGCGTCAAATATAAYTGTTTGTATGGCGCCTTCATGAAACGACTGAACTATCAAGGGAATTTCTAAACGATTAATTGAAAGTGGAATTGTCACATTAGAAGCTTTTTATACTTAAAATTGTTTATTTTCCTATTGTTTTTTTAAAGAATGTGCTTGCCAAACTTTAGAAAATTAGAATTGTCAAAGGAATTGCAAGATATTAGGCATTCATAGTTAGCAAAAATTAAATCAGTTGGCTTCCATTTCTCCCTCGAAGACATGTTGAGTCGATTTAGGAGACCTAAAACTCAACATAAAGGAAAGCGCTATTGTTCGGGGGAGTGTTCCACAAAGTATTCAACAAAATGGTCCGCAGCCTTACTTTGCGACCGGCAAAAAGACCGTGCGAACAAGAAAGCCATAAATGGGAGCACCAGTTTCAGTTTCAAAAAAAGCGAGTCATTCCAGGACATGCTGACGCTGGTCTTGATGACATGAACGCCGAGTCGTTGATTTTTTGGATGGTCAAATTCATACAAGACGAGGCGCCAAGAAAAACAGAGAAGCTTATCCGACGGTCGAGTAATTCGCGAGGAAACGAAACGGCATAGATACAATATTGATTTTTCAGTGTGTTTTAATTGTGTTTCATTGCACGCGAGCTTAGACATTTTGAATATTTTCAGGGGAGTGTGGGCCTGATTATTATTCAAAGCCGCCCCCAACTTTGAGCTTGCTGCACCTTTTATCCAATATAAATGTTTAATCACGTGATTAGATTCTCAGTATATCATTGGCTAATGACATCATGAATTATTAATGAGTTTGATNATATAATATAATTCGATCGCCCACAACTTATGATAATCATCCTCCTCGATTTACCAACACAGAAGATGCACACAATTTACCAACACAAAAGTCGCTCACAATTTTATGATAATGAATTAACTCCTACTCGTTTTGACCACCCCTCCCCTATCACTTTTGACTTCATTAGCATACCCACCTACCACCTACCACCTACTTTCGGGGCTCGAGCGGTCCTTTGCCTACTACTAACGCATGTGACCAAATAGGCTCATTCTATTGGCCTACTAACTCATTGATTTTGTAATCATGAGTTTTCGAAACAACAGGGAACGCCCGGTCTGTGTGCACGCTCAAAAGGACCGAATTTATAGTTTGCCATATGAGACACCATGCACACCTTAACATTGCAAATATTTCTATTTTATATACATTTTGAAAGTTTTTTTTTATCCCTCTTGACGGCTGCTAAGTCATCATTCGTCCAGGCCCCATGTTCCTATTGGAAAAAGCACACATTTTCTGAAGTTTAATCTTCTTAAAAACATACTATCTTTTTCAATTTTTGATTTTCTTTTCGATGTATATTTAAAARCTATGAAACTTTTCTTAGAAGATATGAAAAAAATCCGTTTTATCCACTCTAAAGAATCTACTCTACCGCGTAGTTTCTACTCCAGAGGTTTAAATTAACTGTTAATGGGAGTACAAAATACTCGAAAAGGCAGGGGTTATTGCTCTTAGAATGGGCCGTCAAAATCACTCCCAATTGGTGGAGTTACATTTACTTCAGAAAAGGAGTTCAGTATCTGGTACCCAGTTTTTTACTTCTCTTTTGGAGTTATATAAACCGTGAATGTTTTGGGGCAYGGTGCACAAGGAAACTACATTTTGATTAAAAAAGCGCAATAAAAAATCATTGAATATGCATGCCAGTGTGTACAGAATTGTTTTTTTTTCCAAGGTAAATACTTTTTAGGACTCCTACTACGTACTCGGAACTGTAGCAAAATTGTTAGTAAAAAGTAGAAAAAGTACTTCCCTTGGAAAAAATAATKAGGATACTTACTATCTGGCTTGGATGCCAAGGCCACAATAGCAAAAGTCAAAAGCAAAAAAGCTGCTGCAATGAAGTTCTTCATCACTTCGAACTCCCTTTTCTTCAATATTAGACCAGTGTATCTTACAAAGATGCAGGTATCGTTGTTAGATAGAAATGATAACCACAACWGATTAAAACAAACTAATATGCTATCGACATCACATATGCAAATTATATGAATCAAGTAAAGGATCAGAGGATTAGCATGCGTTCATTAGAGGTTTTCTAGTCGATTGTAGAATGAAACTTTAAGTTAACAGTTTATATTTCATAGTCTTTGTTTTGAAATATTCCAATGTTGAAAGGTCATATTATACACATTAATGTTATTGATGAATACAGGCTTACTGTCCTTTTTTTTGGTTTACTTGATATACTCACTGATAGATATCATTTCAGAACATCCACAAGATAACAATCTACCGTTCAGCATTCATTAACAGCTGTAATTAACTTAGAGCTACATGATAAAGCTATGATTGGGTTTTATACTTTTAATTTGAATAAGGCCAAGTTCATATGACATATTGAATAGACCTTTACCATAATGGCTGCAATTGTGTTTTTCCAAAATAAAATAGATATGACTATTTTGTCACTGTAACATCAAAGAACTATCAGAAATAAACGTTTTTGGAACGTTTTAGATCTTTTGACAAAATAGGAAAAAAGTTATGGTGAAATGAAAATACAAAGAAATGTATGTATTTTTCCAACAATGGYTGTCTGTCTATTTGTTTCTAAATATGAAATATGTGAAAACTGTGTCACTGCCATGTGAATGAACTACCAAAAATAAACATTTTTGGAAAGTTTTACAGCTCTGGATAAAAAATGCGAACAAAGTTATGGCCAAATGAAAATACAAGAAATGTATGTAATTTTCTGCCAAGGCCTTTATAGCCTCGTTCTGGTGTTATGATATATTTTAAATCCTTATAACTTCACCAGAATTTAACATTTTCATTTCAAAGTTTTATATGTTGTCATTAGCACAGGTTCCTATCAGCTGTTAGTTTGCTTTGACTAAAATTCTAAATTGTAAAAATTTATGTTAATTAGATGGCGGCCATTATGGTGTATGGCATTGCGTAGAACTTCTGTGCAATTTTGAGTGGTAATGCATCAGAACTCATGAAAACAAACTAGTTTGATATATAACACGCTGATCTATAATTGTCCTGTTATTCAGTCACAACTTGAAGTCTAATCAGGAGGAGCCGACGTGGTCTGTTCCTCTAAATAACTGTTCTTGTATACTAATTGGGAAAGGGATTTTTGAGCTACATTGTTGGCACAAGCAAATGTGTCACCCTTCCTTTAAAATAATTTTGTTACTTGCAAACGTTTTCAAGTTCGAAAAAGGCCTATATAACGTTTTTATGGTCAAAAACGGATTATATTGTCATATTTAGAAAATTTTGATTTTCCTGGCAAAGATTCTTAGAAAGTATTCCTTGTCTGGAGAGTTCTTTCTTCGTGTGAATTTCTTGCCCGGCAACCAGTTGTGACTTACAGCTGGCTGGGACATAAGAACAGATATATTTCTCCCGTTGGCTCCTCCTATCTAATCAAGAGATCAATGTCAATTAATGATGATTGTTGTTTAACTTTATAGTCCTAACTGTTATCAAAGGGATATTGCAGTCGCTGGTATCCGAGTCGTTTTCGTTCTAATACGAGATGGCTACGAGATGGCCGATCCGGAATGAAATTGAAAATTTNATAGAACTTCTGAAGCCCCCATCTTTGGCAGACAAAGTCTCAAAGGCGGTGGAGATCCATTAGAATTTTGAGGAGCGGGAGTGATGATTTTGTTCTTGCAAGAATTTTTAGGATTTCAGGCACGCGCTTGTAATTTTGTTTTGTAAATTTACAAAAGCTTTAGTGCAGACTTCTCAAACTTTTTCCTTGCAGGAATTTTTTTCCAAAATCTTCCTAAACCCACGCAGTTTCGGATAGTCCAACAATTTGTTGGGTGTAAATTCAAAGAATCAAGACCATATTTTGAAGTTTATCGCCTTAACTTCACAGTCATGAAACTTCAAATAGAAAGCTGGAATTCCTAGCACTCCGCATTGAACCCCTGCGTACGCCTTTTTTGTATAGAATTCGGTTTTTTTTTCTTCTTTTTTTTCAGATACATGCGAAATACGCTTTTATGCCTGTGCAATTTTGAGTGGTAATGCATCAGAACTCATGAAAACAAACTAGTTTGATATATAACACGCTGATCTATAATTGTCCTGTTATTCAGTCACAACTTGAAGTCTAATCAGGAGGAGCCGACGTGGTCTGTTCCTCTAAATAACTGTTCTTGTATACTAATTGGGAAAGGGATTTTTGAGCTACATTGTTGGCACAAGCAAATGTGTCACCCTTCCTTTAAAATAATTTTGTTACTTGCAAACGTTTTCAAGTTCGAAAAAGGCCTATATAACGTTTTTATGGTCAAAAACGGATTATATTGTCATATTTAGAAAATTTTGATTTTCCTGGCAAAGATTCTTAGAAAGTATTCCTTGTCTGGAGAGTTCTTTCTTCGTGTGAATTTCTTGCCCGGCAACCAGTTGTGACTTACAGCTGGCTGGGACATAAGAACAGATATATTTCTCCCGTTGGCTCCTCCTATCTAATCAAGAGATCAATGTCAATTAATGATGATTTGTTGTTTAACTTTATAGTCCTAACTGTTATCMAAGGGRTATTGCAGTCGCTGGTATCCGAGTCGTTTTCGTTCTAATACGAGATGGCTACGAGATGGCCGATCCGGAATGAAATTGAAAATTTAWATGCCATAGCCATGCCTTTATATCATCTTTTCAAAATTGAAGGAAATTATTTTCTGAAAATATGGCTTTAATGTATCATTCGAAAAATTCAAACAAAATAGTGGACGAGAAAGTGCCTTTATTACAATAGCCTTGAAATTTGCTTTTTTCTCGAGTTGAGACTTACCCTGTGTTCCCATTAGACCTACAAAGGCTTTTCAAAGCCTTCTGGGAATACTGGCCTAGCCTCAACTCGGTGAAAATGTAAATTGTTAGCGTTATTGTACTTACAACATTTTCTCGTGCTGTCTTTTGTGTTTGTACGCTCTTTACGTAAGGGAATCTGCTGTCATTAAAACAGCGGATATTCGTTTTGAATTCAAAAATGGATTTTGGCGTGTAAGTACGAATTCCAAAAATCGTGTTTATGCGTCATGATTGCTGATATATATAAGTATGTTAAATTTGCCATCGTAGCTCAGTGGTTAAAACGTGGCTGTATAATATTTATATAAATATTAAAATTATAATTTAATATAATTTAATATTTAAATACTGTCTGATGAGTGCGTAGCACGAAACTCGGACTTACAGCAAAATCTTGCCTCATGGGATCAGCTACTTCCTCATACGATAATATTTATATAAATATAAGACAAGCTAAACTATGGTTCGTAAGCTTGCTTGAATAAGAATGTCTTTAGTAGTTTCTTAAAAATATTTATATCTTTACAATTCTTCAGCTCGTTTAGCAATGAATTCCATAGTTTGGGGCCACAATATGAAAATGATCTTCCTCCAAAAGTCTCGTGTTTAATGGCAGGGATGACAAGATCATTGTTGCCGTCAGCTCTTGTTCTCTTCATAGGTCTCTTTGTAACGATCTCTTCTAAGTAAGAAGGTGCTGACCCATTTATTGAGTTGAATGTCAACACTAAAACTTTGTAGTGGATCCGTTGCCAGTGTAGTTATTTTATATGATTTCTGTGATGTGACCATGTTTCTCTCGCTCAGCAATTAATCGAGCAGACATTCTCTGTACTCTGGTTAAGTACTTCAGTGTTACTTCAGGCAGGCCATAGAGAATTGCGTTGCAATAGTCCAGTTTGGATGTTATCATGGTATGGACCGTGGCCTTGGCTGCTTTGTCATCCACAAACCGTCTGATTTTGAACATGTTCTTCAGCATAAATATACATTTCTTTGCAACATTGCAAACGTGATGTTTGAGAGATAAGTTTGCATCAATGTCAACTCCAAGAAGTCGAATAACCTTCGAGATTCCTACTACCTCATCATTAACATTCAAAGACTGTAGTTCCACGGGGGTACGACGTGGACCATCTAAAGCACTGAATTATTTCCGTCTTGTCATCATTTAACTTAAGCATGTTAGTTGTCATCCATTTCTTGACATCTACAAGGAGATTTCCATCTTTGACGTGATCGTGGGGACAGTTACCTTTGAGAAGGAAATGTACAGCTGACGATCGTCAGCATAGGCATGGAAACGAACACCATGATTACGTGCAATATCACCAAGTGGAATAAGGTAAATAGTGAATAGTTTGGGCCCAAGCACTGAGCCCTGCGGGACACCACAACATATTTCTTTAGGATCAGAAAGGGTACTAGTTTCCTTGCTTCTATGTAAAGATTTGATCCAATGCAAGTACTAATGCAGACATCTACCAGTAATTCCAAAACGATGTACTAATCTTCTAAGTAACAATGGGTGATCGATCGTATCGAAGGCAGCCGATAGATCCAAAGCAACAAGCAGAACACATTCATTTCTATCAAGTGACAGTGTTATGTCATTGTAGATTTTTCACAAAGCAGTCTCTGTAGAGACTTGCTCGATAAGCAGACTGCATCGCTTCATCGAGGTTGTTGGAACTTAAATAACTGGTTGGCCAAGACCTTCTCTGTAAACTTAGACACATAAGATAATATAAGGTCTGTAGTTCTTTAGATCCTCCTTATCCAGGTCAGGCTTCTTTAGTATAGGCGTCAAGATGGCCTCTTCAAAACAGGATGGCACAGTGGATGCCAAAGAGTTGTTTACAATATTTGTGATAATTGGTAGAAGTGATGGCAGACATTTCTTCAACGGATGGGATCTAGCATAGCAGCCAGAAACGGATATGTCAGTACAGCCTGAAGCAAGACGGTATTGAATGAATGCTTCATATATGTATTAATTCAAATTAATTTGCGTACCGCATATGACGATTTACTAAATACAACTAAATATCACTATTTATATTTTGTATAGTTTGCACGGTTTAAATGCGATCACTCTACCATAAATCAGATCTCCTGGTCTTTAACACTGCTGCACGTCCGATTTCCTTGACAATTGTTCCTCGTTTCTATATGTTTCTTCATTTATCCCCAATCATGATTTACATAYAAAGTGCACTTCATCATTTCGCACCATTAAAACTTAGAAGCAATATTTTAAACCGCGGCTAAACGAGCGATTTTTCGCTTGCGCAGGCAACGCGATTTTTCTTAAAATCGCCAGCGCAGGATGTGGCTACACGACCGACAATGCCGTATCGATAAAAAATTCTCACATCTAGCTCCATGAAGAGGTGTATATACAAAAACAGCTCAAAATTTGATGTTCAGCTTTCACTGCACCCGAAAATCGCGTCGCCAGCGGAAAAAAAATCGCTCGTGTAGCGGCGGCTTTATATTCACCTCGAGAATTTTAGTGAGTTTAYAACAATTCTTACAACAGCTCTTTTTATTATTTATCACATTCATGCATATCATGGTATTGCTAACATATTGTAATACAAGTAAAAATACAGTATAAGGCTTGATGAGGCTCTCTCTGTTGGCTTTGAAACACCCATCTGAAGAAAAAAAGCACAAACTAGATTAGACTGATTTCACGCGTCATAACGTTTTTCAACACCTATTGCATGTTAGCAACGTAACTATCTTAGCTGGTTAAGCAATCCTTACAACTCTAGGGATTTCAAACAATTTAAGCCTTAGACAGTCCTATTCCAGGGCCATAGCCAAGAGAGAAGTACAGTTTTAACTGACTGTACACTAAAATTGTGAAACAAATTTTGACTGCATGGCGATCACGCCTTGGGAGCGGCTTCTTGGAAGCCTCATTGCTTATGCACCGTCTAGGAATTGGTTGCAACTTCGCGGCGATATTCCATCYATCGTTGCAACAATCGCAGGCCTTTTTACGCTTACGATTTTAGTTGCGCGATAGGAAAGTACTGACTAATTGGATTGCAATCAGTCAAGAAAGTATCCCTGTATAAGGAGTGCTGGATGCTAAAGAATCAAATGTAATAGTATGGTGAGAGACGGAAAGAGGTATTTTTGATCAAATTGCTCAACATACTYACTTTCTTCTTCCTATTTTCCACTTTTATACGAATTAAAGTACTCTTTCTGCAATAAAAGATATCATAGATATCATCAAATCAAAGTGCTACATGAGTTTTTATCTGGACCCAYAGGCACCGGAGAACTTTTGCCATCATTTGGTCTGGTTTAAAAATGATATGCGGTTTAAAGCTSTTTACTGATTAGTTTAAAATCAAAGAATTTTGCGTATATGTGAGAAAGTGGCGCAAAGGATCTCGGATCCCCGTGGGTCTTTAAAAAAGGATGGAACACTATTTGAATTATTAATTGGGTAAGGCCTTTGCATGTCCTTGCTGTTCAGCAAATGGATAAATGTTATTAAGGAATATAAAACAGATTTCCGTGTTTGATACTCTTATTCACAATGAAAATACAATCCACAACTAAGCAACGTTGGCGAAAACGTGCTTGATATTAAATTCATCAAAACTCGCGTTTGGGCCAATCAAAGCGCTTGTTATATACCAATTATTTTAGAAAATTGATATCGAACTCCACAGTAACTTTTTCTCTCAGCCACATTTTAAAATCATTAAACGTCATAGATCATAATCATCGATCTGACTTACGCCATCTTCCCCTCCTCCTTTGACCTCTTTTACTTCTTCCCAGGTACAGTATTCCTCCACGTAACATTCATGATAGAGATCTCTCTTTGCAATTTTAAGCCTTTTCATGAAATGATTTGCTTGGTTKGACGATAAACGAATATCATCGCCTGAAATTTAACAAAGGAAAAAAAAATGATATTGTATCGCGAGCTTATATAACTTCCCATATCTAGTGAAGATCGTAGAATTGCCACTCAAAATTTACGTTCTATCAAAATATCAAGTCTGCTGACAAASAAAAAGACCAGAAGTGAGAACAGTCTTTGGAATAATGCATTTTTTTTTGTAAAATCATAAACTAATAAAGCGACATAAATAATATTATAAAATACACTTTGGAAGGAGGATATCTTTAAAGTGACTACTCGCTCGCTCGTTGGGATGATTGTCGCATATCGTTAGGTCGATTGCAAAACAAAAGATAATGCTGATGGTTAGAAGAAATATAAAACCCCTAGAGGATTACATAATCTTTAGTTTCAAACTTAAGTTTTAAAGTTTTTATAATCTAATTCAAATTTCAATAATGAGTGGCTCTTCACTCAAACTTATTGTCAAATTGAGGTTGAAGCGTTATCTGAAAGCCTTTCCCTCGCAACAAAATAACAAAATAATAAAATAATGCAATATTATTCTGACTTACTGTCTGGCTTGAAAGTCAAGGCCACAATAGCAAAAGATAAAAGCAAAAGTGCAGCAATAAAGTTCTTCATCGCTTCTACTTCTTCCTCAATGTTTGCCCGGTATTTCTTGATAACTGCAGGTAGCGTTGTTGCTATACAACTGATCACCAACAGATCGAAGCGTACTGATATGATATTGATKAGYTGATYGGCTAATTATCRGTCATTTCCCTGCTTAATTGCCCTCTTTTGTTGCTTTGATAATGAGCACGTATCTAAATACAGCTAGAAAGATTATATCATCCCAAATTTTGTTTACATCATTAGTGTTATTGTACGTGGTATTAATGAACATGGGTTAATTATTACCACTGATATTGTAAATTTTCTCAATTACCGATTGGTCTAAAGTCCATGTAAATAAAAGTAAATACGCCAGATTCTCGAGATTTTTTGTCCCACTTTCTTTTTTTATGTTTTTTGTTCCATTTATTTATTCATTCATTTACTGCTGTAAATTTAAGCAGCCAGCAATAAAAGCGAGAAAAGTTTATACTAAACAAGAYTGTGATTCTAAAAGTGAATTATTTTCAGGCGTATACGATTTTTTTTTTTTTTTTTTTGCTAAAAAAATCGTCGCATGCAAAAACAGAAATGCTCGATGACAAAGTGATTCGATGACACCAACCGTCATAAATTAAAGAATTTGTTAATGTTAATRGCAAGGCACCAAAATTACATTTCTCAGTCCATTGTTTGAGGCTCATTATTGGTCGTTTTCAATCATTCCCATGAGATTCAAAAGATAAAAGATCGGCGGCCATGTTGGAGAAATGAGCAATAGATACTAATGAGAGTCCCTTATCACATAATAAACTCGCGTGCTGATTGGTCCGAGATGACGAAAATGTGACGTACATATTGAAGGATTTAGCGTGGAATCCAATGCTTTCAAAGCTGAATTCGGTGAAAAATCAGGGATCTCGCGCGATTGAATTCATTTTTTTGACAAACAATTTAGAGTAAGAAATTTAATAATAATTTAGTCTTAATAATAATTAAGAATAGAAGCTCTTTYCATAGAAAATTGTAAAATGATATGSCGGCTTTGTTGCAATATCACTGTTCTATAAAAACGACCAATATTTGTTGACGGATTGAAAAGCTGTATTCAATAAAAAATCAGGGATCCCGCGTTTTGTGTTTGTCTTTTGATTTGTCGACAAAACGTATTTCACGGAAACAAAAGTTTTACTCTTTAGTTCTCTTACAATTTCATAGCACTAATACAAATTAACAAGTTTATTAAAAAAAATCAGAAATTTTTGAATTTTGAAATAAGACCCCTTTTGAGCTSCAACTTACACCTAAGAGGGTCTCAATGGGGTTAACCGTGAGCCGTGAAACGGCTGAAAAATTAGCCGTTAGTCGTGAAAATGCGAAAAAATTAGCCGTGAGGCGTGAATATTTTTCTATAGCGTGAGCCGTGATTCAGTTTTGTCCCTCAGAAGGACAGCCAACTCCGATGCAGGAGCGCGCTTGTAATTTTTTTTGTAAATGCTCTATTCGCAGAGTAGCTCATTTAGTGCATCGAAGACCTTAATTGAACGGGAGCCTGCGTCACGCTAAGTGTGGCAAGAAACTAAAGCTGCTCGAAATAGAACGTTACAATATTGAATCGACATCTTTTTTTAGATAGCTAATAAAGTTATAAAATATTTTTTTAATTCTTACATAGTATTTTTGGGATTTGTTTGTACATTTTCAAGAAGCTGCTCGAAATAGAACGTTACAATATTGAATCGACATCTTTTTTTAGATTGCTAATAAAGTTATAAAATATTTTTTTTAATTCTTAGATAGTATTTTTGGGATTTGTTTGTACATTTTAAAACTTCCACTCATTTAGTGCATCGAAGACCTTAATTGAACGGGAGCCTTCGTCACGCTAAGTGCGACAAGAAGCTAAAGCTGCTCGAAATAGAACGCTATAATATGAATCGACATCTTTTTTTAGATTGCTAATAAAGATATAAAAGATTTTTTTTGCCAAAACAAAACTAGCACTCATTTAGTATGTTAGTACATCGAAGACTTTGAACGGGAGACGATCATATATCCACTTCGTAAAAAAAGACGGTTCTCGGGAAAGTGAAACACAAGAGATGACAATAATTATGCAAAAATAAATAAATAAAAAAAGATAAACAATAAATTAAATAAAAAGGAAAAAAACAAAATCACTAAACGTCTCCTCCAGGGAATCGATCCCGCTACCGTCAAACCTACATTGGATTTGCAAGCGGCGCCTTAACGCGGTGCGCCACTGGATCACTCTCATTTACATAATAATAGACCACTTGACACTTTCACCGAATAGACTACCCCAATTTGACATTATACTTTCGATAGTTGCCTAGTTAGTGCAAGGGGTTATCCATCAGTGTCTAGGGGCCGGATAGCTTCTCCCTCACTGGCTTTTTAGTTAGCGCGAAGTTAGGACCAATTATCGGGATAGCATGGAAGAGCCGAAATCTCTAACCGGAATGTAAATCGATTCGCCGCCTCAGCTTCACAGAATGTCTCGGGGGAATCGTCCCAACCTTTTTTCGATTTTATGGTCATGGGTTCGAATCCCAATACTCAAGTTTTTTCTTTTTTCATATTTCTATTTTTTTTGCTTTTTGCTGTTGTCTTTGAATTAGCTTCCTATGCATTAATGTTTAATTAC